TAATGCAGACATAGTAACTTCTCCAGCCTTACAATTGTTATAACACAGTAGCTCCAAGGTCGGTAAACCCAACTGGTGGTCGCTGCGTCTTCCCTCATACGACCACATACAGTCCCAAAGCAGTGAAATAAATTTCAACAGGTAGCGTAGTGCCGACAATAACATCATGGATTGTTAATCCACTCATTAACCCACATCACATGTGGCAGACGCACTGGCCTCAAGCAGTCAAAGCAAACAGGTACTGTGCCCTGGGGGAATCCAGCATTGATGAGCTGATCATTCACTGGCCGGCTGCTTGTAGGTTAGACCTGGTCAGTGAGTCCCTGTTCAGGAATATTCAGTGAGTTTCTGTAGAGGAACATTTCTGGACATGCAGTAACCTCAGACCCTACATTTTTCTCCACATCCTCTGGTCACAGTGCAGCAGCAGGAGGGAAAAAATATTCACACAACTGTGTGCAGTCAAAAAATTCTGCTTTTACAATGGCACCGGTGGATGTCAGGCAAGTTCACATGTAAGCCCAACTGCCTGGAGATAATGACCATTCAAGGAAATCCTTAATCACTTCATACTTTTTTGTTAGACATGTAGGTCAGGGGCAGTACCTGCTTTGTGAACTGAAAACCAATACATAAAGAGCTAGTAGCATAATCTAACAAACATACTAAGTTAGGTGTTCGCACACACACACTAAAGCTGTGCTGCACTGACATTGTTGCACAGATCAAGCAGATAGACCTGCGGAAGAACAGGAGCAGAAAAACTGAAGCAAAGAAAATACAAAAGATATCTGAGGAGTGTGTCCAGAGCTTAAGTCTAAACTCGCCTACTCTATAGTTCTCTCAAACACAATACCGTGACCACTGCTGCTACAAGTGACAAAAACCAGCTGGCTGATGAGAGAGAGGCTGCTGAACTGAATGAGCTACAGAGGTGCTGCTCAAAGACAGTGTTTAAAGTTTTATCATGGTTATGTGTGGACTCATTGCGCTTGGGGAAGAAAGCAAAACTTCAAAATCTGCTTCAAATTAAACTTTGAAGCACAATTCAAAAGCAAACTCAAGCTGTTGATGTGACAACACTGTTCATTGTGCTTCCACCACACTCCCTTCTCACCCTTTTTCTGCTGCTGTAGTGTAGGAAAATGCCGTGCTCCATTTGTTCAAGGATTAATGTTATGTTGTATGGAAGTACAATCTAACAACACACTACAAAACATATCAGCATTTATAGTGTAGTTGCATAGGCTATATAGAATTGTAATTTTTAGATGAGAGAGTGTGTCTTTTTGGCCAAGACTGGCCCTGAAATGCAAAAAAAGTCAGAAGTACTATTCACAAGAGCATAAAAGAGTAACAGAGCCTGAGAGTCTCTTTTTCATAGCGTAGAGTTGACAACCTTGATTTAAGAGTGAAAAAAGAATTAGCCATAATGCAGTAACTGCCAGTGGCAGAATGCCTCAAAAGGCGTATAAGGTCTAAGCATTTACGCATAATAAATAGTAGTTATTACTGTGACAGACACAGACACTGATTAGTATGTAGGCAGCCACTGTCAACCAAGCACCTCAACTTGGTCCACCAGTCCTACTGTATTCATCTACCAGTAGTTCTGGACAGAAGGATCAAATTATCACTTGGCCTCTGCAGTAAATTACAGCAAAAACTGCTCTACCTAGTAGATATATACAACACTGAGGGCAGGTTGCACACACTGAGCTTAGGGGCAATAACAAGAAGGCGCTACGATCACTGCATCATCGCAGGGGATGACCTGTCACAGATCAGGCATAGTTTCACTACGGTTCAGCCAGCAATTTATGATGGCTGTATCTGTAACATGGTGGCACTGTGGGAAGTATTATCCATACTTTTTTTTATCAACCTGGAAGTTTTTAACTGACTCAACATCTTGTTCTCTGACTTTCCCAGGGATCTGATTAGGGCAGCTGGTGTGATAACAAGTAGAATTTTCTCCATTTTAAACTTACCTCAGCCTCACATGGGAAAATAGAGGGTTAAAAAAAAAGTTCACTGCATGTCTTCCAGGGATCATCGGTTTAATTGCCTTATTGTTAACAAAGTGCTGATGCAATTACAAGAAAGCAGTCCTCTGTCTCTTCCTTCTCATGAGAGTTACACCACTATAAGCCTGGACTGGGGTCATGAAATCACAGAGCATTCATTCTACCTCCTTTCCTTTCAAATATACTTTGCCTGCTTTGAGTTTTGTCTTCTTGTGTGGTACATCACCCTCTATCACCTTCCATCACCCTCCATCATGTGACATTGTCAGGTAAGAGCATCGACATTAGATTGTGTGTGTTCATTTTTGTGCAGGCGAGTTTGAGATGCTGCGATTATGTGTTTATTTCTATGTCAGAGGAGCGGCCATGGTGCTCCAGGGGCTTTTTATCATCCCACTCACTTCCTGGATTAGACTGGGTGTAATCACGCTGAGCCTGAATATTCATGAGCCAAGTGAGAGACTGTCAGGCAAACACAGACAGACAGAGCTACAGACACCTCTTCACAAACACCCATGAGGAAATACCATGCCCATGAGTGTTTACCACATTCTTATAAAATGAAAATGCTTACAGTTACTATGTTATAATTTCATAATCACTTTCAGGAGTGATTTCAGAGCATGAATTGCAGATACAAGTGCATCATGTTTCAAATATATTATACAGTTAATATGATGACATTCAGTTTTTTTTTGTTGTTGCTGGCAAAGCTCCTCCAAAATGTAGCATAACTGGTTCATATACATTCAGAAGAAGTACTTATCTTCTGTGCTCATAATCTGATCTAATCTTCATCTCCAGTAAGTCAGACAAATAGAACCTGCTTTAAGTAATAACACACAAGTAATTAGAATCTTTTGTGTCCATCAAACATTCATAATGCTGGTGGAAAAGTGCACAAACATTGAGAGTACTGTGTCATCCTCTCCTCGGGAGTTTGGACACTAAGGTCAAACTAACTTACTTGTTTACAATTGCCTACTGCAGTCAGACGACTGTCTAGTCATAGCAAAGCATGTAAATTACATGCTCAACACAACACATTCCCAGAACTACAGCTTTGCCAAGGCACAGTGCCAGCCAGCTACTTTGTCTCTTTATACTGTTTGTGTAATGCAAGTATCTAGTGTGATTGCACATAATGCCAAGAACCAGGTAAATATGAGGTGATGATGTTCTGGTTGAATTCTACATTTTCTATAAGCCTACAGCCATAAAGAGTACTAACACAGATAAAACAATTAACATTAATAACAAGTGAACATCCATAGCGATACAAATTAGTTTGCAATGTCTGCAACTAAATCTAAACAGTGTCCAGTTGTTGATATAGCCATGATAGATTATTCTCTATCTATGTGAAAACTAGGCCTGACCTTAAATCATCCAAATTTAGTTACTTACAAGTGTTACATACTACATCCTGGTTACCTTCATGATGTGATCTAAAAGCCTACCACTGTTTCCTCATCAGATAGAGATAAAGAACAGTAAATGCAGCCTCTACAAACAACTTTTAACCTTGTTGCTGGACATTGTGTTGTTGCAATGTTGCTGTAGAGCAAAAAGTAGTTTAAGGTGTGAATATCAGTATACCCTCTAGTACAGCTGATTTAAGGTCATTTTACATTACAGCATTGCTATTCAGTTAACATCTGGGTTCCGAAAGTGGATTTTCTTTCTTTGAATTCATTCTGTAGTAGATTTATTAACATTATCCTGGTGTATCATCCAACTTCTAGTGAGCTTAGGCTGTGGACAGCAACACTGATATTATCCTGTAAGACACCTTGATAAACTTTGGAATTTATTTTCCCCTTGATGATGGTGACATGGTGACAGCAGCAGTTAAATCATGATGCTCCCTCCTCTGTACATCACTGTTTGGATGATGTTTTAATGCTCCTATGAAGGACCCCTTTTACATCATATACAGTGCTATGCATTCTTCTCAAATGATTCAACCTTAGTTTTATTAGTTTACTAAATATTTCCCAGTAGTCTTGTGGCATGTCATGGTGCTCTTTGGCAAACATCAGCCAGAGGTTTGCTACCTCCTCACTTTCAATGTGAGCAAGAGCAATATAGTGATGTGCTTTTAGTTAAAATGGACTGTATTTTTCATCAAGATAAATAGGTCTGTCCATATTTTAAGTCAAATGTATACATAAACAGGTAATTCCAAATGTTTAACATTTCTTGACAATATAGGAATCTCCTCTACAAAAGAAAAAAATAGATCAGCGGGTATAACTCATACAGAACTACTCATGGGCAGCCACTAATCTATAACCTTGACTTGGAATATTATCTTTTATAATTATCCTGTATGAGGGAGCTCTAACCTCTGAGCCAATAATTCCTAGTCTAATGAAAATATTCACAAACCACATGGCCAAAAAAGTTTAGTTTTTCATAGATGTGAATTGATCCATCAAATTAACACGATACAATCTGGCTTCTTAAGATACTTAACCATGTTTGTGTTCATTTTCAGTGTTCCAAACTAGGAGCAACCACTTTTCTTGTAATGTAAAGCACGTGGAACAACTGTGTGTATATAAAAATATTTGTCTATTCAAACTTTTTTGAAATGTTTCCTTTTCAGTTTCAATATATGAAAGGGCTCAGAAGGGAAATTTTTTAACTTAAATACACAGACAAATCCAATTTGAAAGCAGAAGTAAACAAGTGGCTTGTAAACCCATGCAAATGTATGTAGATTTTACACTTTTACCATTTTTAATCAAGAAATGTAAGCCCTTGATTTTGACCATTCTTAACAGTGAATATTTTATTCATATGCAAATCATAAAACCTGACAGACAGTTCAGCAGTCTTCTGTAAAAATCTAGGAAAGAAATTAACAAAATTCACAAGCTTTTGTTTCTGTCAGAAGCAGACATAACACTGGACCCCACGGCATGACACAAAGATTGAATAAAAGCCAAGTATGTTTATTGGGGTTATACAGTATTAGTAGGGCAAAAACACCCTGTGGGCTTGGGGCGGTGGAGCAGAGTGCAACAGAGGAAACATGGTTCTGGCAACACAGCAGATGGTCTTCAGTAGCAGTGGAGGACTCTTTTTTCCTACAGTAGGTGGAAGGACGATGAGTATTGAAATGGTTCAGTAGACAAACTATTTTACTGAGATGTTTCTTGTACTCACACATATGAGGTCTTAACTTTAGAGGTAAATGGCAAAATCTTAAGGCTGAAGTATAGAGACAGTGGTGGACCATCGTGATTGGCAGGAGATGAGCCCAGTCAGCAATGAACAATGCAGGTAAGAGCGTGGCCTGCAGAGCCGATGGGAATAACCACACAACCAGAAGATGGTGGATTCTACAGAGGAGTAACAGGGAAGTTACTGTATAGGTAATACTTTAAACCAGGCTAGTATGGGGAGTTTGGAGAAAGAAAGATACAGAGGCAAGTAAGGATTACAGTAGTGTAGGTAAGCCACTTAAAGGCTGAGCGAAGTAACTATGATAAGAAACAGGGCACACAGGAGTTGTGGTCCCACAGACAATAGGTGAATCCCACTTTCACTAATTGCATCCATGTTTCCCGTACTTGTCATACGTGGGCGGGACTAAGAAGCAAGGAGAAACCATGAGGCGAAACCATGAGGAGAGAGGAACGAAGAAACATGTTTTAAATGTCCTTGTCTTCCCACCTCAAGTATTAGTATTACAAGCACTGTGTGTAAACACACAGCTGACTGTGTGTGAGAGAGAGAGGAGCAGCCCCTCCCTCCTGTAAACAGAAACTGACAGAGAGAAAATGGACAAATAAAGCAGGACAGTCCACATCAACCCTGGAAGCTATGCTTGGCGATGGTTAAGTACAGGGTAGACTGCTCTTTAGGTTCTAATAGTGGAAACACAGCAAATATCCACACATTAGTTTTTCAGCCAGGTGAGTAGTATAAAAAATGGCTTGTGCACATCAGTAAAATATTTAGTAAAGTGCAATTCAAAACATACAAAGTACAGAAAGCAAACTTAGGAAAGTCCAGGGGCAGATGGAACATCAGAAGAGAAACACAGGTCAGGCAGGCACAGGATTTGGGTGTGGCTGGAGAAACAAGGTGGGTTAAATAGCCAGCAGACAGTGAGCACAGGTGAAATCAATCAGGTGATAATGAGCATCATAAAGCTGAGGCAGGTAAAATAACATAAGGCAGGAAGTCAGGGATCGAGCTTGACAGCTTCCTGACATTTGAATTTTGATCAGCGTGCCAACAATGGACCGACAGTGGAACTACCACAGCTGGCTAAAGATCAGTGTGTGTCTGTAGTGTACTGTGCCAGTCACAGCTGGCTAACTGGGCAGGATTACCCTGTATAATGTTTCCTGGATGAATTTCCACTTTTACAATTTCATGTGTTTCACAGTGCAATTCAAGAAATCATGGATTGGAAGGTTCTTGATTTATAATTATAAGGTAGCAAATAATGCTTTGTATGGATTATTACAAAGCAGAGTGTGAACAAAAACTTTGTTCAATTCCATACTTTTTAGTTTTTAAAGACTGCATAACACAGAACCTGTTTGTCACAAGGGCCATTGCCAACCATGATCAACCCAATCATACCTGCTTTCACCGTCTGTGAATGTGTGAGTTTGATTCTGCCACTGGGGTAATACCAGCACCTCCAAAGAATATAACACATAACTCAGCAGATGGATTTCACATGGACCATCTACAGCAAGACGTCACAGCCATGTGATTAGAGCTGTAATTGGGCCTGAAAAGTTAGGCCCGACAGGGCCCGAGCCCGGCCCGAGCCCGACAAGTACATTTTTGATTGACAGCCCGAACCCGTTTACAGCCCGACATTATTCAAATGTGCGCACGCACACAGCATCGCTCAACATACCTTCTCAGCGAGGAATTCCCTGTCGTTTTGCTGTCGTATTTTATGAGAACGTTACATTTCTTGCATTTTACATAACCCACTGGGTCATTGTTCTCGTTATGCACATGTTCAAAATGTTGCCACACCTCAGATTTAGCTGCTGCTGGTGTAACCATAAAATATACGCCAGAGGCAAGCCTTTGTTTCACCTCATCCATCTTCGTTCTTTGCAATGCATCTTTCTCACGCTAATTGAAACGCATCACGTGACCACTCATTTAACGCCCGAGCCCGAGCCCGGCCTGAGTAGAAAATGATAGAAATTAAGCCCGACCCATCGGGCACCCGTCGGGTTGGGTTCGGGCTAAGAATTACAGCTCTACATGTGATAGTCATGATGCAAAAACCTGGCATGTGAAGACATAAGAGAAACTATCCTTTTTGGGTCTAGACAAATACAGAAGTGGTCTCTTCTAAATGAGTCGGCTAAAGCCTACAGAATTTCTAATCTCATTAAAAATAATACTTTTTTCCTCCAAAGAGTCACATTTCCTCTGGCTCTTATTTAAATCCTTCTCTACACAATCATCACAACATGGTGGCCTGTTCTTTGTGGTTATCCTGTGAGGAATTGACTTTAACACATTGCATTGCTTGCTTGCTTTGCAAGCTCACAACTGGCTGCAAATCCACTTAAACGGCTCCCCTTGCTTTTTCAAAACTGGATTTACTTTGGTGTGTTCTAAAGATTTCCTAAATTCTGAGGGTGTCTAGCAGGTTACCAAACTGGGGTGTAGTCTTGTCATCTACACAACTGACAGAATCAGTAAGCCAAGCTCACTTTTCAGTTTTGTCCTGCTAATCAGAAGATACTGTAACATTGCTATGTTCCTCTCAGACAAAAAGGTAATTTAAATGTGACAATTCTAAAGCATGTCCTCTATTAGTTCACTGCATTACAGCATCGAGTGAGACCTCAGAAGGTCTAGAGAATCTATACTGTTAGCTAATGAACCTGGGATGCTGTTACTATTGCACACACCCCCTGGTAATGTTTTTGTCCCTTGAATATTCTTTACCAGAGTTCAGCATTTGGCAGATGGCATGAATCATGATTTGTTTTCTCTGTCATAATAACCTCCTTTATATGAAGCCTGTTTTTAACACTCACTCCTTTAATGCATATTGTATTAATGCATATGATTTTATCTTAGTCATAACTCAAGGAAATAAGAACATAAAGACATTGGAGTCATGCTGCTGAAATTAGAGAAACTTACTTTTAATACCAGTTTCCCCTGTGTCCTGTGTTGACCATAAATGTCCAAAAGAAAACTGTGTAAATTTGGAACTCCCTAACACAGCTTTAGCCATTTTATTCAGTGTCAAAGTAATCCATTACCTGTACATTCAGGCTTACAGTGCAAACAGGAAATACTAGCAGCTAATACAGCAAGATCTTAGACTATAGCTGAAGAAGGAAGGCTTCCTCAAGGAGGAACAGGGTTAGGGTAAAGGGCAATGCATGCTGGGGGCAGCGTGTCATGGTATGTCATGTAGTGCATGTCCGTGTGCGGGCTCGCATTGAACATAATGAGTGAGGTTGTTTTGACGAGCGTCACACGATGCATGTGTGTGTTGCCCTTTTAAGGTTGAATGCACCCTCAGATAATCTTGGACTTTGGAGTGAAATCTGAACTCAAACAAAGACAACAGGTGATATTCATTCAGTTTAAGATTAAAGGACAGATGGATCCTTCTTTAGTATCGAGCTCGGCTTTGCATGACATCTGCAAACGTGAGCAGCATCATGTCCATATTACTAAGCTGGTTTCCATCATCAGGAAGCCCAGTGTGTTAAGGAGACTAGCTATAAACAAACCTCGTCTCACATATAAGTCACAAAGAAGGAATTTGGGAGCCCCCACCCCCCGACCCTGACTCCATCTTAGTTTGCTCATTTACATTCCTTCTGTTGCTTTAGTGTTTCTGCTCATTTGAGGCTCCAAGAAACCCCTTATCATCCATCTCAGTATTCTTAATTTTCTTTTTTTTGGTTCCACAGCTGTGTGGGGGACACACATGCCTTCCACAACAAACACAAGTTCAGAGCTTAGGGGGAAAAGAAAAATTCTGCCTATTAAATTCTGTCTCTCTCTGTCTCATGGGTTTATACAGCACTGGAGAGGGTTTGTGTGTCAGTGACAGGGGCCTGTGTAGGTATTTATATACCTCTCCTATGACTCACGGCAGGGTAATCACATTAGCTATGGCTGTACTGTCACCATTGGACTCCCTCTCTCTCTCTTCCTCTACTGTATTTAGAACTAGCCAGGGCCCTGCATTTTAATCTGTGGAGGTCCAGGGAAAAGTCTTGAATTATTTTCAGCTCCAGATGTCTCTAAATAAGCATTATGGTATGGCGGCCAGTTAATAGTGTGTCATATCCTGCCAAGGCTAGGCAGTCCCTGTAAGCACTTTAGGGAGTTGAGGGTGGAATGGGACTGTTTGGGGACTGGCTGATGATAGCTATGGAGGAGTATTAGCCCAAAAGCAAAAAGAAATAGCTCCAGTGATGCTGTGGGCTCTGTAGCACTGCTTCTTAGCCCTGGTATGGAGCAATTGGCTGCTGGCAGAATGCACAACTTGAGTTTTAGGAAAAAAGAAACTTTCCAAATTTTGGAAAGTCCTCCATTTTGTTTGAAGAGCAAATCAATCAGTTTTATCTCTCTGTGTCAAGTACACAAAACCAGAGATCTGTTTGGCCTAGATTAGCTCAAAGGCTGGACGTGATCCAATTTGGGGATTGTATTAGGCAATGACAGCTCAGTAATTTTAAGTTTTTTTTTCTGAAGAATGAAAAGACCCAGATACACACATGCAGTAGCCTCATCATAGGTCACTTAAAATCTCCACTAAAATTGTGTTTCCCATCATACAGTAGAATGTGTTCTAATGAACATTATCAAAACTATATCATATACATGCATTATAATTTATCATATACCATATTGTTCTTCTATTAATAGTATTTTATGACTATGTATGACAGAACATATGCAAAAATCCTATACATATATCAGGGTTTCCTTGAATTGACCTTTGAAGTGTATGTGTGTGAACCTTCTTTACTGAATGGAATTGATTTTATAAAGCATTTTTCTACACACTGAAGCACACTCAGGGCTTTACTGTACATCATTTGCTCATTCACCCATTTGCACAAATGTTCACACACACACACACGCACACACCTTGGCACAATGACACTTTGACAATTAGACTGGAGAAGCAGGGCAGTGAACCCCACAGTTAGGGGATGACCCACTCTCCTTCCTGAGCTACAGCTGCCCAAACATGACAGCAACCAAGACTGTCAAACAGAAGAGAAACAGTATTTCAGCAAATGACTCTCCTTCATTAGGAGCAAATGAGAAAGTAGCTAACATTATTGTAGAGTGACAAACCTTAACTGTGGGATCATAAAACATTTTTTAGTGATTTATAGTAGTTTTGAAAGACAGAAAATGGGTGTAGTTTCATCATTTCATGGAATGGTGTGCACACTGAGGGGGCAGGGAAAACACATAAAGTACAACATAAGTTACTCAGCTGAAATGGCTGTTGCTGCAGACAGTGACAGAATTTATGAATAATGTTGGTTAAAGACTATTTACAGTAGCACAATACAGCAATGTACTAGTTTTTTCATGTTTTCTGAGGTGCATTACTGTTTTGTATTTTTTTTTATGTATTTAACAGTATGGAGATACAGTATTTTGTTTTCTCTGTTAAATGAAGAACCCACTACACTCAGTAAATTAGGACAATGCTGTATAGGCATTTTAAAAGACAGGGCATGATAAAATTCTTCTGTTATGTCCATCCTATTGAGCTACCACTGCCTAGTGTATATTATCTTGTATTTGTACTGGAATAATATTGGATTTCTCTTTACTTGCATTGAGCAATGTCTGCTTCATTTCTTAGAAATTGGAAACCAGTAAAAGACAAGCTTTATTTTACTTTATTATACCAAGAAGCCCCATTGAGATCAAGATCTCGTTTTCAAGGGACCTGGCCAAAATGGCAGCCATACAAATTTACAACATATTTTATAAATATGAAACAAAAACAGGGAGAAGAACAGAAAGAAAGTAACAACCCCCCTGAAAAATAGCACCTGAAAAGC